GCATCCCCTGCATCATCTGCTCATTTGTTTGTTGGGAAAATCGGCAGGTCACTGACCCGCACAGCTTCATGGGCCTCTGCCTGGGCATCACCAGCATCATTTGCTCATGGGCTGGAACAGTGACCTGCAGAACTGCACGGGGCTCTGCCTGGGCATCACATCATGTGCTTGTTGGGGTCACTGACCTGCAGAGCCGCATCATTTGCGCATTTCTCTGTTGGCTCTTGGCTGGAACAGAGCTTCATGGGGCCCTCCCCCCGTATGACCGCACTTGCTCGTTTGTTTGTTGGCTCTTGGGCTGCAGAGCTTCACGGCGCTCTGCCTGGCCAGCACCCGCATCATTTGCTCATTTGTCTGTTGCCTCTTGCGCTGGAACATCTGCAGGCAGGTCACCGACCTTGACCTGCAAAACTTCATGGTGCATCTGCGGGTCACTGACCTGCAGAGCTTCATCAGGCAGGCAAGCTCTGCCTGGGCATCACCGTTTGTTGACTCTTGGGCTGGAACATCTGCAGGTCGCTGACCTGCAGAGCTTCATGGTGCTGTACCTGAGCATAACCCGTATCACTTGCTCAGTTGTTTGTTGACTCTTGGGCTGGAACATCTGCAGGTCACTGACCAAAAACAGCTTCACGGCGCTCTGCCTGGCAAGCACCCACATCATTTGCTCATTTGTTTGCTGGCTCTTGGGCTGCAACATCTGCAGGCCACTGACCTGCAGAGCTTCATAGCTTTGGCTGGGAATCACCCGCATCATTTGCTCATTTGTCTGTTGGCTCTTGGGCTGGAACATCTGCAGGTCACCGACCTGCACAGCTTCATGGGACTCTGCCTCGGCATCACCCGCATCATTTGCTCATTTGTTGGCTCTTGGGCTGGAACATCTGCAGGTCACCGACCTGCACAGCTTCATGGGACTCTGCCTCGGCATCACCCGCATCATTTGCTCATTTGTTGGCTCTTGGGCTGGAACTGCTGATTTGTTTGTTGGGAAAATCGGCAGGTCACTGACCCGCACAGCTTCATGGGCCTCTGCCTGGGCATCACCAGCGTCATTTGCTCATGGGCTGGAACAGTGACCTGCAGAACTGCATGGGGCTCTGCCTGGGCATCACATCACTGACCTGCAGAGCCGCATCATTTGCGCATTTCTCTGTTGGCTCTTGGGCTGGAACATCTGCAGGTCACTGACCTGCAGAGCTTCATGGGCTCTCCCCCCGTATGACCGCGTTTGCTGGCTCTTGTTCTGCAACATCTGCAGACCTTCATTGGCTCTGCCTAGGCATCACCTGCATCACTTGCTCATTTGTTTGTTGACTCTTGGGCTATCACCCGTACAGTTGTTGACTCTTGGGCTGCAACATCTGCAAGTCACTGACCAACACAGCTTCACGGCGCTCTGCCTGGCCAGCACCCGCATCATTTGCTCATTTGTTTGCTGGCTTTTGTTCACATCTGCAGGCCACTGACCTGCAGACCTTCATGGCTCTGCCTGGGCATCACCCGCATCACTTGCTCATTTGTCTGTTGGCTCTTGCTGTGAAGCTGACAAATGAGAAATGAGGCGGGCGATCCAGGCAGAGTCCAATGAAGTTCTGCAGGTCGGTGACCTGCAGATGTTCCAGCCTCACCTGCATCATTTGCTCATTTGTCTGTTGGCTCTGGGGCTGGAATATCTGCAGGTCGCTGACCTGCAGAGCTTCATGGTGCTGTACCTGCTCATCACCCGCATCCATTGCTCAGTTGTTTGTTGACTCTTGGGCTCGAACATCTGCAGGTCACCGACCTGCAGAGCTTCATGGGGCATCCCCTGCATCATCTGCTCATTTGTTTGTTGGGAAAATCGGCAGGTCACTGACCCGCACAGCTTGGTGGGCCTCTGCCTGGGCATCACCAGCATCATTTGCTCATGGGCTGGAACAGTGACCTGCACAACTGCATGGGGCTCTGCCTGGGCATCACATCATGTGTTTGTTGGGGTCACTGACCTACAGAGCCGCATCGCATTTCTCTGTTGGCTCTTGGGCTGGAACATCTGCAGGTCACTGACCTGCAGAGCTTCATGGGGCTCTCCCCCTGTATGACCGCATTGGCTCGTTTGTTTGTTGGCTCTTGGGCTGCAGAGCGTTGTGGGGCTCTGCCTGGGCATCACCTGCAACATTTGCTCATTTAGTTGTTGTCTCTGAGCTGGAGCATCTATCTGCAGGTCACTGACCTGCAGAGCTTCATGGGGCTCTGCCTGGGCATCACCCGCATCATTTGCTGATTTGTTTGTTGGCTCCCGCATCATTTGCTCATTTGTTGGTTGGCTGCTGGGCTGGAACATCTGCAAGTCACTGTGCCTAGGCATCACCCGCATCATTCGCATTGTTGGGTCGTTCGCGTGTTGGCTTTTGGGCTGGAAATCTGAAGGTCACTGACCTCCTGAAACGACGGTAGTTTGTTTGCCATTGTCTTCTCATACCTCCCACTTCTCGGATCCTTTTCATTCCAAAGGCGCGCTGTAGGTGACGGGGTCCGCCTCGGCCGCGCGCAAGCCTATGCGCCACTGGCCCCCGTTCTTGGAGTAGAACTTCTTGAAGAGCAGCATCCTGCAGTGAGCTCCGGATGCCAGGACCCCGAATGCGGAAACGACATGACTCGTTGGAGAAGAAGGTAGAGAAATCCACGCAACAAGAAGCAGACTGCCAAAAGGAAATCCCCACAAGCATGTCCAAAGGCATCCCCCGACGACATCCCCGAGGACAAACCCGTAGACTTCCCCGGCGACACACCGAAGACACGCCAAACAACATGTCCCCAAAACAACTCGCCAGGCATGCCCAGCATCTTACCCCCCACCCCAGACACTCCAAAACATTCCCCAGAGAAAGACCCACCCCGCAAGACACACAAAAGGACCTAGCCAACCGCATTGCCAAAACCATCCCCAAACCCCGGGTTTGGCTTGGTCTCAAACCCATGGGGAGGTGATCTTCGGAACCAAGGCGGTCGTATTGAAAGGAGAAAACTGGATTGCTTCAGAATTGGTCGGGCAAATGAAAACCGGCGACCAAGTTTCCGTGGACCAATTTCCTTCCCTTGTGAGTAGATCATCTGCTCGAGGCTCAACCCCGAAAGAGCCGTGTCCAGACCTTCAAACCCTGTTCTTTACGTTGCAACACGCAATACTCCCGGCGCCCTTTTGGGTTGCACATTCCTAGAAGCCCAAAGGAAACCCACCTTCGAGTCATCGCAATGGTTGATTCCCATCCAATCACCACCCTCGCGACTCGGTTTTCGGATGTGCGCCGAGTGGCTCCGGCCAGCTCTTCCGCTCAGCCAGCAGCTCCTTCTGCTCAGGGGTAAGATCCGAGAGATCCTGGGGCCCCGAGCTGCTTGCGGCTTACGGCGTCGTGTGGGATACGTGCCAACATAGGGGACCCCCAAACTCGGTGATGGTCCTCAACAGCACCCCCTTGTGCACCCTGACATTACGCCTCTTGGGCTGCACTGCCCCAGGCCTGAACGTGGCTTCAAAAACACTCATTCCAAAACCTGAAACAAGATGCTCAAATATTCGAATAGACCAGTGTTTCTCAGTTGTTGCTGTATCTTCCTAGGGCACCCACCAAAAGGAATGTGTCCGAAGGGAACCTTGGGCTGTCTTCCGCTTGTGCAAATCGAACAACCAAACAAAACGTAGCAGTCATGATCATTTCCCTCATGCGAACTGTCGACGGGCTGAACCATGTCATTGAATAAAATGCAGCCTGCAGTCGAAAAGGTGAATCAACATGGTGCATCAAAATCGGCGAAACCCCCTTCGGACGGTTCTAAACCGAGACCAAAGGGAATTGGAATCATCCAGATCTTGGAATGCTATACATGTCTCCCTAAGCCCCCTGACATCGCGAAGTCTTCCAAGCGAAGTCTCTTCTTACAAGCCGACGGAAGCCAAGAAAAGCGCCAAATGGGGATTGGAACGTGCATGGACATCCTTGGCCTCCTTTTGAAAGCGCTCAAAAGTCCCTTCCAAAACGAGAACAGTTTTGACAACCACAGCCAGATCCTTGAGGAATACCGAAAAAAATGGGCCCGTCATGGGGACCCGGGCTTAAGCCACATGGCCCCCGCTTTCCGCTTTCGCTTTCTCCGAGCGTCGGGGTCGTGGATCCGGAGCCCCGTGGCCTGATAGGCCCGGCCTCAGGCGGTCGAGTGGAGGGGCAGATTTTTTTTGAGGGCGCCCCTTGGGGTGTGCCGCGCCCCTTTGGGCTGGGAACTGCGCAGGTTGTGGGAACCTGTTGTTTGCCAGGGGAAACACGAAGCAGAAACTCCGCGCTTTTTTTAGAAACCACGGCCCAAAAGACAAAAATATTGGGCTGGGAGAAATCCTTGAACAAATATCCTTCGAGTCTGTCAAAATGAGGCGGTTCAAGCTGGGGGAATGCAGGTGTCCTTGTGAAATTTAGTGGGTTTTGGTGGGGATCCAGAATTTTGAGAAACAGACCTCGCACATTGGTCATCAAAACGGCGCAGAGCACTAAACGTTGAATTCGCCGCTTTTTTCCAGTAATGCACACCTGAGATTGATGACTGGTCGATCAATTGGGGGGTCGGATTGTCCAAGAAAATATGTTCGCTTTCGGAGAACAAAAACACCCACCCAAAACAAAAACACGCGAGGCTTCCATTGGGGATATAGAGATATCCAAACCCGGACAAACCTCAAAAGTGGTTGAGGAGTAAGAACCCACGGCAGTTCTTCGTCAACTTTGAATTAGGGATTGTTGACAAGGTTTCCCGACAAGAGTTATTGTACTTTGGGGTTCGAAACTCGGATCCAATGCTTACGATCACTGACCAAATTAGTTTTGACCCCACGCCCAAAACAAACGAAACAGACCCTTGTGAAAAACAGAACTCCAAAAGGAAACCAAGAAGCCTGGAGAACATTAAGAGAGGTCCCTCAAGTTCCCTTTGAATCGAACCTGAAGACTGCAGTATGGGCTTGAGGCGAACCCTCCAGATTGATCTGGGAGTGTTCCCAAAGGATTGTTGCCGGGGGATCATTTGTCTCAACAGGTACAGGCAGGAATTCATGAGATGTCTCGGATTCGTCAGCCGGAGTTCCCTTGATTGAGGAAGGGCCATTTGGGCAAAGATCGGATTCAAAGGTTCATGGAACGCTAAAGCGGTCCCCCCAAAAAAAGATTCCTCGAACGGATGCCTTGGGGGCTGTGTAGACCCGACACGCCATGCGGATTGCTTGGGGGGGAACACTCAGGCAAGGGACGGCGGGCGCTGTTGAGGAAGCTGGGTCGGTAGCTCTCCGGCAGCGACACCCGCTTCACCAGAAATCGGCGCTCACCTGGCGCTCCGCGATTCCAAGAAGCGTGGCCCGGGGAATTCTGCAAAAACCACCGTGTTCAAGCCACTCAGGCTGCGACCGTGGTCTCAAATTGTCTGCGCTAGTCACCCAACTTCGCCAACCTAAATCAAGCAACCCAGAAGGAAGCAACCTTGCTCGCTTTACCCATACTGATTGCTGAGGCCGATGTTACAGAACATCGCCAGCACCGGTTGGCATATGCGTCTTGTGTTGCGGAACGGAATTTCGGACCTGGTTTGGTTACGCGCTGAATATGGCAAAGCTGGCAGCATGGCTCATGTAGGAAAGTGGCAACGGACTCGCAGGAGGTACGACCAGAGGCCAATGGATCCACAGGCACAAGGACACCGAGCAGATCTTGCGCTATGGAAAATGTGCAAGTGGTCGACCTTGGGCTTTCCGTCATCTGAGAAAACACCGGCATCACGTGCATTGCCCGAAACAGCCGGCAACTCGGGCTATGGGCTCCATCTGAGCGGTTCTTTGCCATCGGAAATGTGAGGCGGTTGAGGCGGCAAAAAGCTTGGAAGACCAGCACAGGCTCCCCCAGTTTTGGGCCCGTTGCCTCCAGAAAGCCTCCGGAGGCCGTTGCTTCGGCCGGCTGTCAGTTTTCGTGGGATAGGATGGCGTCTCCACCCCACACCCAGCAAAAAGTAGCATCGCGAGGCGGGAACAAAGAGTTTCACTTGCTGGGCGGGGGGCCAAGGCCAAGGATGGACTGTTGAAAGGAAACCCGCAAGATCGGAGCCCTTGGGGTGCCACAATTGTGGGGGGGTCCCAAAGACCCAGGTGCTCCAAAACCCCAAACAGGACTCACGTCAGTGCTGACTGCTTTGTGCTGACTGCGACCCCCCGCCTTTCTGGAGCTTCATGGTCACTTCCGTGGGCGTGCGGAGGTCGGTGCTGTCGCCGGACCAGCCGTGCCATTGGGAGACCGGCATGCCGAGGTGGCGCTGGGCACGATGCCGAGTCCGAGTTTTCTGAGTGGATTTGGGGGGAGGGGGGGAGGGGGAGTTGGGGGGAGGGGGGAGTTTGGGGGTTGGGGGGGTGGGGAGTTGGGGGGAGGGGGGAGTTTGGGGGTTGGGGAGGGGGGTTGGGGAGGAGAGAGGGCAGAAGGAAGCTGTTGGGAGGAAACAAAAAAAAAAGCGCACGGAAAGATTCTAGAAACTTGGTCTGAGAATCTTTCTGGAAAAGGGGGGTCTTAGTATCTCTCCTGATGAGTGGGGAATGTGGAAATGAACTTGTACCATTTTGTACGAAGTTGGAATGTTCATGTCCATATCCTTCCAAGGCCAAGCCAGGGCAAATTGGTTCTGGCAATGGTCTCAAAGAGTCGGGTGAGGGGTTGCTTCCCTTGACCTTCCCCTCAAAAAAAAAAACACGGAAAAACCCAGCTTTCCAGCGGTCCACAGCGCAGCTATTGAGTAGATCCGCTGGAAGGGCTGCTAAAATGCGGGCAAAACCCATCGTCAAACTTCCAAACGCCCACCGATTGTTTAGATTCCCATTTGCCCAGGTTCTTTGCCTCGGAAAATCGACAATCGACTGTAATCCCGAATGTTGACCCCGGAATCAGCTCTTTGATTAGGAAGGTGTTCAAAGAAGAAATTCCTTCAGGTCTCACCGCACTGCCCCTTCCGCATTTGAGAGCTCTTTCTTGGGCCATTGCTCGAAACGTGGAATGGTTCTCGGAACCATTCAACATGTTTTATGATTGAAACAAGGAGCCTTGAGAATGAGCCTCTCAAATTGCGTCGGAAGCGCGCACCCGGCGCCATGTTACCCCTGCTTCCCCCGGTTGCGAGTCCGAGCCACGCTCGGGGGTGTGTTGTGGTTCCGGTAGTTGTAGAACATGCTGCAGCCCTTATAGATGTTTCGGCGTCGCCCGCCAAACCTGGCACAAAAGTGTCTTGCACGGGAGAGAGACATCCACAAACCCAAGTTGGGTACACTCAAACAGAGGACCCCAACTTTCCCACACTGGAGTGTTCCCCGACAAAAAACTGTCCCTTAGGGATTTCCCAAATACTGTCCTTTCGGCAATGCAAAAAACCTGCCACAAGGGTTCCCTTCAAATCGTCGGCGTCCTTGTGGCTTCGCCTTTCAACACGGGGGGGGAAAGCAGAGGTGGGCTCAAAAGGCGCATGGCGATGTCCCTTTCATGTCCCTGTACCGCCCAAAGGGTTCTTCTAAAAAACAACACACCTTCCTGATTGCTTGGAATTCAACGGTATTTCGTCCGGCCTGATCCTCTTACCCCTTGAGCAACGGCCATGCACCAGGGTTGCTCCAAGACTCTGGCACAAGGGTAGAACTCCGGCCCCAGCTGGGTCATCCTTGTGCATTCTCCGGTCTTTACAGCTAAACCACAAGGAAACCAACCACAAACCCTCTGCGCGAACCTCACTTCCTGCGTGCCCTTTCCAGCTTATTTTTGGGCTCCCTCCCCCTCCCCTCCCTCCCCCCCCAGCCCCCTATGCTTTTTCCAGCTCGGCCGGGGAAAAACGAAAACCACACGAACCAAGAAGCTCCCCCCTCCCCTCCTCCCCCCCCCAGCCCCCCAAACCCGCGAGAAATGAGGCTTCGGGATCCAAGTCCGCCTGCAGGGCTGGGAGTCGATGCTCTCCGCCACCTTCACCATGTCCGCCGGGTCCGCCGACTCGCTGAGCCACACATCCTGCAGCTTGGGGACTTGGCGGGCTTTTTCGGGTTCTTCGGGCTTTTTCCGAGTTTGTCGGTTTTTTTGTTCCCCCCCGGGCTTTTTTCGGGATTTTCCCCGTTTGTATTTTTCCCCAAACAGTTTACTGTGAGGGGTTCTAAATTCATTTAAGGTGGCTCGCCTGTTGCCAAGCCCTAGCCTGGATGCCTGGCACAGCTCTCTGGGTGGACAGGTTCATTTGTCTCCCTGTGTCTCCCTTCATTTGTCTCCCGTTGTCTCCCCGCCTGGATGCCTGGCACGGCTCTCTGGGTGGACGCGTTCGTTTCAGCCTGGATGATCCAGTCTGGGTGGACGGGTTCATTTGTCTCCCTTTGTCATTTGTCTCCCGTTGTCTCCCAGCCTGGGTGCCTGGCACGGCTCTCTGGGTGGACGGGTTCATTTGTCTCCCTTTGTCTCCCTTCATTTGTCTCCCAGCCTGGATGCCTGGCGCGGCTCGGGTTCATTTGTCTCCCTTTGTCTCCCTTCATTTGTCTCCCGTTGTCTCCCAGCCTGGATGCCTGGGTGGACAGATTCACTTGTCTCCCTTTGTCTCCCTTCATTTGTCGCCCGTTGTCTCCCAGCCTGGATCTGGCACGGCTCTCTGGGTGGACGGGTTCATGTGTCTCCCTTTGTCCCCTTCATTTGTCTCCCGTTCTCTCCCAGCCTGGATGCCTGGCACGGCTCTCTGGGTGGACGGGTTCATTTGTCTCCCTTTGTCTCCCTTGATTTCTCCCGTTGTCTCCCAGCCTGGATGCCTGGCACGGCTCTCTGGGTGGACGGGTTCATTTGTCTCCCTTTGTCTCCCTTCATTTGTCTCCCGTTGTCTCCCAGCCTGGATGCCTGGCGCGGCTCTCTGGGTGGACGGGTTCATTTGTCTACCTTTGTCTCCCAGGATGTCTGGCACCCCTTTGTTTCCCTTCATTTGTCTCCCGTTGTCTCCCAGCCTGGATGCCTGGCACTGTTTTTTTGGTGGACAGATTCACTTTTCTCCCTTTGTCTCCCTTCATTTGGCTCCTGTTGTCTCCCAGCCTGGATGTCTGTCACGGCTCTCCAGGCGGACGGATTCACTTGTCTCCCTTGGTTCCCCTTCATTTGTCTCCCATCTCTGTGGGTGGACGGATTCATTTGTTTCCCTTTGTCTCCCTTTATTTGTCTCCCGTTGTCTCCCAGCCTGGATGCCTGGCACGGCTCTCTGGGTGGACGGATTCATTTGTCTCCCGTTGTCTCCCAGCCTGGATGTGTGGCACTCACGCTCCGCGGTTTCCTTCACTTCCCGCGGTTCTGTCCTTTTGGCGGGGTCTGGTTTGCCTTCGGCTTTGGCCCTGGCTTCGGTCATTCCTTGTCTTGTGGATGTTGGGGACAGGGTCCTCCTCTGTCTGCCCTTCATCTGGACTTCGATTTCGCTTGGGCTCGTGGTGGGTCGTCTTCCTTGTCTATCGTTGGCTACACCCTGTATGTTCGTTCAGTGCCTCGTTATCAGTTGCGGTCCCGAGCTGACGATAGCGGTGCGCTGCGGTGCGCGGCTTCAGCTACGAGAAGGCTCTGTTAACCCCCCGGTGAAACAAACGTGAATCACGCTGGAGTTAAATCCTCTATCGATTCTTCGAGGATGTTCAACGAACCTTACGCTGAGATACCCAGTGGTGCTCTTGGCACCTGGGGTTGTCCCGGCTCTCCCGGCGGACGGGTTCATTTGTCTCCCTCTCCCTCCATTTGCCTGACGGATTCATTTGTCTCCCTTTGTCTCCCTTTATTTGGCCCCGGTTGTCTCCCAGCCTGGACGCCTGTCACGGCTCTCTGGGGTGGAGGGGTTCATTTGTCTCCCTTTGTCTCCCTTCATTTGTCTCCCGTTGTCTCCCAGCCTGGATGCCTGGCACGGCTCTCTGGGTGGACGGGTTCATTTGTCACCCTTTGTCTCCCTTCATTTGTCTCCCGTTGCCTCCCAGCCTGGATGCCTGGCACGGCTCTCTGGGTGGACGGGTTCATTTGTCTCCCTTTGTCTCCCTTCATTTGTCTGGCACGGCTCTCTGGGCTTTGTTTCCCTTCATTTGTCTCCCGTTGTCTCCCAGCCTGGATGTCTGGCACGGCTCTCCAGGCGGACAGATTCACTTGTCTCCCTTTGTCTCCCTTCATTTGTCTCCCGTTGTCTCCCAGCCTGGATGCCTGGCACGGCTCTTTGGGTGGACAGTTTCACTTGTCTCCCTTTGTCTCCCTTCATTTGGCTCCCCTTGTCTCCCAGCCTGGATGTCTGTCACGGCTCTCCAGGCGGACGGATTCACTTGTCTCCCTTGGTTCCCCTTCATTTGTCTCCCATCTCTGTGGGTGGACGGATTGATTTGTCTCTTTATTTGTCTCCCGTTGTCTCCCAGCCTGGATGCCTCTCTGGGTGGACGGATTCATTTGTCTCCCTTTGTCTCCCTTTGTTTGTCTCCCGTTGTCTCCCAGCCTGGATGCCCCTCTGGGTGGACGGATTCATTTGTCTCCCGTTGTCTCCCAGCCTGGATGTGTGGCACTCACGCTCCGCGGTTTCCTTCACTTCCCGCGGTTCTGTCCTTTTGGCGGGGTCTGGTTTGCCTTCGGCTTCGGCCCTGGCTTCGGTCATTCCTTGTCTTGTGGATGTTGGGGACAGGGTCCTCTGTCTGCCCTTCATCTGGACTTCGATTTTGCTTGGGCTCGTGGTGGGTCGTCTTCCTTGTCTATCGTTGGCTACACCCTGTCTGTTCGTTCAGTGCCTCGTTATCAGTTGCGGCCTCTCTCTGTCCTTGCTCGCATTTGGAGTCCCGAGCTGACGAGAGCGGTGCGCTGCGGTGCACGGCTTCAGCTACGAGAAGGCTCTGTTAACCCCCCGGTGAAACAAACGTGAATCACGCTGGAGTTAAATCGTCTATCGATTCTTTGATGATGTTCAACGAACCTACGCCGAGATACCCAGTGGTGCTCTTGGCACCTGGGGTTGTCCCGGCTCTCCCGGCGGACGGGTTCCTCTCCCTTCATTTGCCTGACAGATTCATTTGTCTCCCTTTGTCTCCCTTTATTTGGCCCCGGTTGTCTCCCAGCCTGGATGCCTGTCACGGCTCTCTGGGTGGACGGATTCGTTTGTCTCCCAGCTTGGATGTCTGGCACGGCTCTCCGGGCGGACGGGTTCATTTGTCTCCCTTTGTCTCCTTCTTGTTGTCCCCCAGCCTGGATGCCTGGCACGGCTCCCTGGTCATTCGCGGTGTATTCCGCGGGCACGCATGTGTGTTTGAGGCTCAGAAACGTGTGTTTGAGCGCGCGCGTGCGCTTGATCAAGCCACAGGCAGCATGCTGCGGATGCACGTACGAGTGCTTCAAGTAAATGATTGTGTGTTCTTGGTGTGTTCCAGCTGACCACATCGGCGCGTTCCAAGTGAACACGCACTTTTTGCATGTGACCACATGAGTGTGTTCCACGTCAGCACATGTTTGTGTTCCAGGTGAAAGCATGCGATTGTTCTGATAAAACACATATGCGATCCGGTCAAAATTCCTAGTAAGGGGGTTTAGTCTACAGAGGCCACCGTCGCAGTCACTTTGTGCAGTTTTTCATTCACACAAAGCGGAGTCCTGCAAATACCAATGGATTGCCCGCTCCCCACTGGAGGCGCTAGGATGGCGCTTGGTTTGCGCTAGGGTCTTCGGTGATCTTGGTTTCCAAGAGTTGGCGCGTGGGTTGCCGCGATGGGCTTTGCGTGGCTTTCAAGGGTGTAATGTTGCAGTTCTTACTTAGTACTTGAAGCCAGCCCGCACGTTTACCTTCATCTTACGTGGCCTTAATTTGTCAAATCCACACAGATGGTCGCCGTGACTCCAAAAAATACGGCGAACCCGCGCTAGCCGCGCGCTAGCAAGGCGCTAGCGCAGTGGTCAGCTGTGACCGGTTCCCAGTTACGCTTCAATCCAAATTTGCTTCCGCTCTCCTCGCATGCAATTATCATGGAGTGCGATTTGCTGGACAAAGGGGAGAAACAACGGCTGAGGCAAGACGGCAGGGATGCCTTGTACCGAGCATACGGAAGAATTGGGTTGCGTATTTCCCTGCGAAAGCAAATGCTTTACTGAATCGATACGAAGAGTTGCCACAATACGATCAAAGCACTTTAGCAATCGATACGAAAGACACTGTGCAGCTAAGCGAGAAAGAAGCGCAATGCGCCGGAAAGCTTTTGCTAAGCTGAAGCCTGTAACTGCTGGAGACGCATCCGATACTGATAGTACTAGCAGTAGTAGCAGCAGCAGCAGCAGCAGGCTCGCGCGCTAGCAATGTGTTGCAAAAAAGCTAGATTGATCGTACACGAACACTATTTTCCTACTTGGAACACGCATATAAAACACAAGCGTTGTTCAAGGCAGAGCCCCATGGAATAGCGCCTCACAGCCGGCTTCGGGAACTTGATTTATGTGTCGCCCAGGCGTGCAGGAAATGTAAATTCCATGTGAACACATTTTTGTTGTCCAGGTGAACGCATGTGTGTTGCACATTTGTGTTGCACATGTTTCTCCACATGTGCACACACGTGTGTTCCATGTGTACACATATGTGTGTTACAAGTCAACACAGAAGTTTGTTCTGGTTAAACATGCTTGTGTGATCCAGGTCTGCACCAGTGTCGCACGTGAACACAAATGCCTGTTCCAAGTGAGCGCATATATGGGTTCCAGGTGAACACATATGTGTGTTGCAGGTGAACAGAAATGTGCTTTCCAGACATACACACATATGTGTTCCAGGTGTACGCATGTGTGTGTGTGCGTGTTCCGGGCGCGCATATATATATATATGTATATATATATATATGTGTGTGTGTGTTCGCGTGTGCACATATGTGTGTTCCACATTTACACATATGTGCGTTCACGTGCGCACATATGCGTGTTGCACGTGTACACATATGTGTGTTCACGTGTACACACATGTGTGTTCTTATCAGACACGTGTATGTGTTCCAGGAGAACACATGTTTGTTATCAGATGAACACGTGCGTGTGTGTCTGCTCCGCGTGCACTTTTTTTGTATGTGTGTTCACGTGCACACATTGTGTGTTCACGCGTGCGCACATGTGCGTTCCAACTGGACACGTGTTTGTGTTCCAGGAGGACACATGTTTGTTATCAGATGAACACGTGTGTGTGTGTGTCTGCTCCGCATGCGCATGTGTGTGTGTTCATTTGCACACATATGTGTGTTCCACGTGCACACATTTGTGTGTTCACGTGTCCACACATGTGTGTTCCAATTGGACACGTGTTTGTGTTTCAGGTGAATACATGTTTGTTTTCAGATGAACGCACGTGTGTGTGTGTTCCGGGTGCGCATATATATGTGTGTGTTCACGTGTACACATATGTGTGTTCACGTGTACACACGTCTGTGTTCCAATTAGACACACGGTTGTGTTCCAGGAGAACACGTGTTTGTTATCAGATGAACACTCGTGTGTGTCTGTGTTTTCCGCGCGCGCATAAATGTGTGTGTTCACATGTGCAGTACACATGTGTGTGTTCCACGTGTGCTGTGTTCACGTGTACACACATGTGTGTTCACGTGTACACACGTCTGTGTTCCAATTAGACACACGGTTGTGTTCCAGGAGAACACGTGTTTGTTATCAGATGAACACTCGTGTGTGTCTGTGTTTTCCGCGCGCGCATAAATGTGTGTGTTCACATGTGCAGTACACATGTGTGTGTTGCACGTGTGCACATGTGTGTGTTCACGTGTGCGCATTTGCGTCTCCCACGTGTACACATGTGTGTGTTCACGTGTACACACATGTGTGTTCCAATGGACACGTGTTTGTGTTCCAGGTGAACACATGTTTGTTTTCAGATGAACACTCGTGTGTGTGTGTGTTCCGGGTGCGCGTATATATGTGTGTGTTCACGTGTACACATATGTGTGTTCACGTGTACACACGTCTGTGTTCCAATTAGACACACGGTTGTGTTCCAGGAGAACACATGTTTGTTATCAGATGAACACGTGCGTGTGTGTCTGCTCCGCGTGCACTTTTTTTGTATGTGTGTTCACGTGCACACATTGTGTGTTCACGCGTGCGCACATGTGCGTTCCAACTGGACACGTGTTTGTGTTCCAGGAGGACACATGTTTGTTATCAGATGAACACGTGTGTGTGTGTCTGCTCCGCATGCGCATGTGTGTGTGTTCATTTGCACACATATGTGTGTTCCACGTGCACACATTTGTGTGTTCACGTGTCCACACATGTGTGTTCCAATTGGACACGTGTTTGTGTTTCAGGTGAATACATGTTTGTTATCAGATGAACACGTGCGTGTGTGTCTGCTCCGCGTGCACTTTTTTGTATGTGTGTTCACGGCACACATTGTGTGTTCGCGCGTGCACACATGTGCGTTCCAACTGGACACGTGTTTGTGTTCCAGGAGGACACATGTTTGTTATCAGATGAACGTGACATGTGTGTCTTATCCCACGTGCGCGTAGCGTATTGTTCATTGCACACGTGACATTCCACATGTACATTGTAGATTTCATGTGTGTATGTGTGTTCCAATTGGACACGTGTTTGTGTTTCAGGTGAATACATGTTTGTTTTCAGATGAACGCACGTGTGTGTGTGTTCCGGGTGCGCATATATATATATATATTTTTAAATATGTGTGTGTTCACGTGTACACATATGTGTGTTCACGTGTACACACGGTTGTGTTCCAATTAGACACACCGTTGTGTTCCAGGAGACCACGTGTTTGTTATCAGATGAACTGTGTGTGTCTGTGTTTTCCGCGCGCGCATAAATGTGTGTGTTCACATGTGCAGTACACATGTGTGTGTTCCACGTGTGCACATGTGTGTGTGTGTGTGTTCACGTGTGCGCATTTGCGTCTCCCACGTGTACACATATGTGTGTTCACGTGTACACACATGCGTGTTCCAATTGGACACGTGTTTGAGTTCCAGGAGAACACATGGTTGTTATCAGATGAGCACACGGGTGTGTGTTCCGGGTGCACATATATGTGAGTGTTCACGTGTGCACATATGCGTGTTCACTTGTGCACATATGTGTGTTCCACGTGTACGCACATGTGTGTTCCAATTGGACACGTGTTTGTGTTCCAGGTGAACAGATGTGTGTTTCACGTGAACACATTAGTATGTGCTAGGTGAACTTTTTTTGGCATCTGACGACATATTTGCTCTCCAGGTGTGCACATGTATGCGCTCCAGAAAACGCATGATTGTTTTCGAGGTGCGCGCATGTGTGTGCGATTTCGGTGAGCATTTATGTTTGCTCACGTGTGCGCATATGTGTGTTCCACATGTACACACATGTGTGCTTTAATCGCACACGCGGTGTTCCAGGTGGACACATGTTTGTGTTCCAGTGGTATACATATGTGTGTCCCACGCGTACACACATGTGTGCTTTTATTGCGCGTCTTTGTGTTCCAGGTGAACGCATGTGTGTTCCACGTGTACACACATGTGTGTCTGAATTGGACACGCGTTTCATTGTGTTCCAAGTGAACACACATGTGTGTTCCACGTGAACGCATTAGCGTGTCGTAAGTGAACACATATGTGCGTTCCACGTTTGCACATGTGTGTGTGTGCTTTCCAAGAAGCACATGTTTGTTTTCCAGCTCAACACATTTATGCGTGTGCCGCAGGTGAATGTATACTGTTTCAGTCGTATACGTATGTGTGTTCCACGTGTACACACATGTGTGTCTGAATTGGACATGTGTGTTTGAACTGCCCATGTGACTGCGTGCTTGCGCGGCCACACTTGCGTTCACGCGCGCGCGCTCGCCCGCCATCGCGCGCGCTTGCCCAACCTCAGTTCTGGCGCGGTGCTGAAGCGCGAAGCACGCCAGCAACACACGTGCAGCAACGCAACGCGCGCCAGGTTCACGACTGCATCATTTTGATTCATCCGTGTTGAAGCGCAGAAAGCCACAAGCTGTTGGCATGTTTGTGCTCGCCCGTCAGCCCTCAACTGTTTGGGGTCTCTGCTGGTGTAATTCTGTTTTTTCTTTGGGTTTTCCGGGCATTTCGGGTTTTTGCGGGTTTTTGCGGGTTTCGAAGCAGTTCCGTTGAATCCCTCGCTTTTTCTGGTAAATAGTGCCATGAGTGCGCCAAACGGCCAGGTTCCGAAAAGAGGAAGCCCCAGAATGGGAGAAGCACCAATTTCCACGAGGAGACTCGGATTCCCGGCCCCTTGCCCGAAGGGAAAAAAGAAGAACACACTTCCCTTTGGACCTCTCCGAAAAAATGTTTGCCTCAAAACTGGTGGGAAAGGAAGGCTACGGCACCCAGCGCGAGCGCATCCAGCCAGACCTTGTCTGACTGTGATCGAAGTCACCAAACAGCCCGGTGCCCAGGTCGAGTCCAAAGAGCCTTTAGAGAGGAAAGCAGATTGAACTTGGAATTGAAATTAGGAGTTCGTCGCTAGAATTCTGTCAACTTCCTAATTCCTATCTAAATCATGATTAAAAGATTGAACAATCATCAAGGGAAACTATATTCCTTTGAACTTCGAATAAGATGTATGATTAAAACATGATTGAAGTCCACGTTTAAAAGGAAAATCCTATTGGAACTGTACTTGAAAAACATAAACTACTAGAATCGTGTCCTTACTAAATTCCATATGATTGCAAATTGAGAATTGAAAGTCCTCTCGCGAAACGAATCCCACCTTTAAACCCTAACTTGATTTGAAAAAGAAAAAGCAAATCCTCATTTGAAGTCTAACTGAAATCAGAAATTATACTCTAATTTGTCCTTGTTAATGTCTATCTAATTTCTCATTGAAAAAGAACACGGGAAAATACCTGCTGCGAAAGGACTCCCGACATGGAACTTTAGAATAAGAATTCTACTTATGTTCTAATTGAAATCCTCTTCAAAAAGACAACAATACTGGAATTCTATCCAAACAATAAAACTATACTACAATGCATTAAGGCTTGAACAATTCATCCTGGGAAGGGACATAACCTTGAATGTCTACTGTGAAATAAGAATTCTAGTTGAAACAAGGAAATCTTGTTAACATTCCAATTGAAGCTAGAATTTCTACTAGAATCGTGTCCTTCCTTGTTAAATGTTCATTCAGAACACGTGCAATGCAAAGCCACGGTATTGTTGAAGTAGAGTATTCAAATGATTGACACCAAAGTGGATGCAGTCTTGTTCAATCAGAGTTGCCAAATGATTCAAACTAGCCAAATGATCTAGAACCAGGTTAACATGTAAGTATCATTGCAAAAAGAAAGAACCTTCTACCAAAAAAACAACTTCCCGGACATATCGCTCTAACACCCGGGGTACCACAGGAACGAACACTGGCGTTGAGAACCCGTCCCACATCACCCCCAACCCTAGCTACCACCCACAAGAAAAGAACGGCCGGCCCTGCTTCAAGACAAACCCCAGGGGAAAAAACCTGGTTCCTTCCAGGACAGGAGCTACCCACCCACAAAACGCCCAAAGTCGCCGCCTGCTTCACTTGACCCCAGGTCATGAAGGAGTAATGCCCCGTGAAGGGCGCCACGAAGAAGCCCATGATCTCCTCCACCACGCCTCAAAAAGGCGGCGCTTCGCCGACGGGTCGCGGTCGCTGACATGGAAAATGAACCAAGGAGAGTCCCTGAAAGGAAACCAGTTGGATGCAGCTGGATGCGTCCCCAAAAAAAGGAAACCACCAGAGATGGCTGTTTTGGTCATGAAGCCTGGAATTCCGGGTCCACCAAAAGAGGAGACCACCAGAAATGGATGGTGTTTCTGCGAAAAGTAGGGAATGAGAAATGGAAACTGGACCCAAGAATAACACCAGCATAGACCCCAGATAGCACACCACGGATACGAACCATGACGCAGCATTATCATGATGATGTAGACCATGATGACACCACAGCCACGAAACAAACGCGCAGACAACGTCCTAATGAGATCAGCAGCATAATGATGATTTTGAGAGCAATCCGGCAGGAAAAAGCAAAAACAACGTCCTGATGAGTTCGACAGCATCATGATGATGCGGACAGCATCATGGTGATGCGGACAGCATCATGGTGATGCGAACAGCATCATGCTCAGCATCATGATGATACCACAGCCACGAACCATCTTGCGACAGCTTGATGAAATTCTGCATCATCCTGATGTTGACAGCATCACGGCGCCACTACACCCACACACCATAACGTGGGAACATCATGACGATACACCAGCCACGAACCGTTACACGCGAACAGCATCCACCAGCACCCCAAACATGCCCCCTAGCACCCGGCATCCACCCGCGCCTCAAACTGCATGCCCCTTAGCCCGGCCGTCAAGCTCGCAAAGCAGCATCCACCAGCACCCCAAACTGCATGCCCCCTAGAACCGGCCGTCAAGCTCGCAAAACAGCATCCACCAGCACCCCAAACTGCATGCCCCCTAGCACCCGGCCAGCTCGCAAAACCGCATCCACCAGCAGCCCAAACTGCATTGCACCAGCACCAGCCGGTTCAGCTCGCAAAACCGCACCACAGCACCCGAAGTGCATGCCCCCCACCGGCCGTCACGCTCGCAACCAGCATTCTACCAGACCCAACTGCATGCCGTGCACCGCAAAGCAAGACCCACAAGCACCAATGCCATGAAGCACGCCTCAATTCGCACGATGATCCACCACGACCTCAAAAGCTGCATGCCCTCGCCACGGCGTCAAGCATGAGACAAACTCGTATATTCATTGGGCCTCGCCATAGACTGGGGCCGGAGGCAACGCAGCATCCAGACAAGCGGCCGAACGACCCGGACGCGCGCTGCAACGCTGCTCACGCACCCAAACTGCATGCCCCCCATGCCCCCTAGCACCCGGCCGTCAAGCTCGCAAAGCAGCACCCACCAGCACCCCAAACTGCATGCCCCCTAGCACCCGGCCGTCAAGCTCGCAAAGCAGCATCCACCAGCACCTCAAAATACACCAGCATAGACCCCAGATAGCACACCACGGATACGAACCATGACGCAGCATTATCATGATGATGTAGACCATGATGACACCACAGCCACGAAACAAACGCGCAGACAACGTCCTAATGAGATCAGCAACATAATGATGATTTTGAGAGCAATGGCAGGAAAAAGCAAAACGAGGTCCTGATGAGTTCGACAGCATCGTGATGATGCGAACAGCATCTTGATGATGCGGACAGCATCATGCTGATGGTAAAGGCAGCATCATGATGATACCACAGCCACGAACCATCTTGCGACAGCGTAATGAAATTCTGCATCATCCTGACGTTGACAGCATCACGGCGCGACTACACCCACACACCATGACGTGGGAACATCATGACGATACACCAGCCACGAACCGTTACACGCGAACAGCATCCACCAGCACCCCAAACATTACCCCTAGCACCCGGTACAACCAAAGCAGCATCCACCCGCCTCAAACTGCATGCCCCTTAGCACCCGGCCGTCAAGCTCGCAAAGCAGCATCCACCAGCACCCCAAACTGCATGCCACTAGCACCCGGCCAGCTCGAAAAACAAAACAGCATCCACCAGCACCCCAAACTGCA